TTTGGTTTGGGAGTTTGCTTTAAGCTTATCTCAAGCTTATGCTTAAAGCAGGAAAAAAATAATTTAAGCATGTAAAAGCAGAAATCATACCTGAAAATTCCTTCTTAGGCTTCTTTTCCTTATTTAAGGAAAGTAAGTAAACGGTGTTAGCAGGTTATGCTGTACAGGGGGCATGCCAGTCGCCTCCATGTCTCACTCAGCTCCATGTCTCACTCAGCTCCATGTCTCGCTCACTTCAGGCACACAGATGCTTTCTTGTGATGAATTAATGTGTGAATTGTTACCCTTTAAAAAGCCAGAGACACCCAAATCATATGTGTCCCCAGATGGTTGGATCCCAGGCTGTGGGCCACAGCTGCCCCATGTAATGACTGTAATGGGATGGTCAAGCTGGGCTTTTTTAGCCTGGAGGGGGAGCCCAGCAGCAGCCTGCCAGGGTTAACAAGGAGGTCATCAAGAATTTAGAGCCAAGCTCTTCATAGCAATGCATGAAGGGACAATGAGACACAACAGCCAAAATGAGTTGAAATGAGAGGTTTGTACTGGATATAAGGACAAACTCCCACTGTGAAGCCAGTCAAGTAATGGCACAGCTTTCCCAGCAAGGTTGTGCCATCTCTATCTATGGAGGTTTTCAAGACCAGATTGGGTGGACCCCTGATGAACCACACCTGACCTCAGAGTTGAGGGCAGGAGGTTGGAGTAGAGACTTCTGGAGGTCTCTTCTAAACCTGACTTATCTTCGAATCCTGTGCCTCTATGAAATGTTCCTGTGGGAGAAGAAGGATCCCAGGTGTGTTAAAACAGTCTTGGCAGCATGCACTAAGTACAAGTCCATTTGCTCTTATGTTTTTGTGGTCTGTGTCCTTCATGACTAATGCATCAAGAGCACAGTGATGTTGTAGCCATCTTTAGTAAGTATTGATAGCCTCAAGATAAATGCCATGCAAGTGTGCACTCTGCAGAGAAAGCTGCTCAGACATACACTCCAGGGCTTTTCCCCATTATTGAAGCTGTTGACCTTTGAAGATATGAAATACTTGAAACAACCTA